ACCATTAAGTTCTACATGTTTTTAATTGTAGGAAATGAATTTAAAATTTCAAAAAATGATCAAAATTAAGCTGGTAAAAATAAATTTAAAAAAACATGAAAAAAAACCTGTCCAACACAGTATTCAATAACAACCTTTGACTTTTATGTAAAATGGTTGTTACCATCATTTTATACATGTCTTGAAGTGTAGGAAAAAAAATTAAAATGTCAAAAAAGAATGAAAATTAAGCTGTAGAAATTTATGTGAAAAAATGTGTCTAATTTCAGTATTAAGAATGAACTATTGATTTTTATGTAATTTGGATTGTACCATTGAATTCTACGCACACTGAAACCTAGGAAATAAATTTAAAATTTCAAAAAAGCACAAAAAATAAGGTAAAAACATGTATGCAAACAATTAATTGAAAAAATGAGTGGAAAAAAAAATTAATAATCAAAAGTCATTTTTATGAAAAATGGGTTTCACCATTAAATTCAACACGCTTTAAAACATAGGAAACAATTTTAAAAATTCAAAAAAACTCAAAAAATAAGCGGTAAAAAATTAAATAAAAAACCGCGTGCAAACGCGGAATCCGCGTGTGCTGCGTGCAGCAGAAACCGCGTGTAAACGCGGATTTACCGCGTTTTTTTTATTAATGCCCTATATATATATATAATATATATATATATATATTTTATATATATATAATATATATATATATATATAAATATATATATATATATAATATATATATATATATATAAATATATATATATATATATAATATATATATATATATATAAACAATTGGGTGGAAATCTCCTGAAATTTGCCACAACTTTAGAAGACAACACTCAATGTAGGTGGGCCAACAGTCATTGCAAGTTGTTGACTAAAAAACAACAGTTATTTTTCTGAAACCCTCAATTTGTTGTTATAATTTTTCTGGAGTATGAAAGAGGGCATGTCTTACAAATACCTGTCAAAGTAGTTTTACTAATGGGTTCTCAATCTTGTTCTTTCCCCCCAAGGCCTTCAAACCCATCCTGAAAGATTTCTCTTAACACCAACACAGCCAACAAATGTTTGCTATTGTAAATCAATAATAGATGCAATTGAGAAATCATGCAGGTGTTCTGAATTAGTCTCTGTCTGGAAAAGCTTTTTGTCCAGTTCTTGACAGTTGCTTATCCACAACAAAAAATATTTTGTGGCCGTGGTCTTATGACCTGGTGGGTTTATTCTTTTTTATTGACATCAAGGAAGTGATACAACCGGGTGCCTCCAGGTAGTATTTCTGAGCGCACATCTGAACTTGAAGAGGATGCTTCAAGACTTGGAAGTTGGGGTATGTTTGGGACTACATGTCTGTTGTCATGTTCACAGCCTTCCTTAGGTTCAGACCGGAATTCTTTGTTCTTGACCGTAATTGCAGAACATGGATCCGAGGAGCATTTGAAGTACTTCTGTGTGCGTTCTACATTACAATGCCCGCCTTCAGGCAAGAGGACGTTGCAAATGCCTGTGCTAGGAATGTCTTTCCTCTGGATCTCCCAGGCAATAGCTGAGCGACATCCGGCGCATGTGATACAGCTTCCAGGGAAGCAAGCTGGGATGAGGGCCAGAATGCCAAATGTGATTTTCCAATGGCTCATTTTAAGGATCCAAAGTTGACAAAGAGGGGCTTTCATCAGGAATTGAACTGGTGTTGCAATGTGTTGCTGTGAGAAAGTGAGAGGCCAACCGTGACAGCTAATTCAGGGTGAATCAATTCATACCCATAGGCTTTACTTATGTCAGTAGAATGTTTGGGGCTATTAAATGAATGACCAAAAACAAAAAATTGTACAAAACACTACAAGAAGACTTGCTCAACTTCCGTGATAGATTTATCACCACGGACAATTGGGTGTTTCTCCCGCCCAGAGCAACATCTGGGGGTTTCAGTGGGTTTTTGTGCGCAGTGACTGTGCATACTGCCACAGTCACACACATGGATTCGTCAGGATGTCGCCTAGCTAAGAATTTATCCCCAATTAGCTGTTCCCCATGCAAGCGTTGTTAGGCTAGCGGTAAACTGGGGCCTTGCCATGGCCTCGTCAGGGGTTCGACTCCCCTACAACGCATGGGAACGTGAAGTCTGTCTCGTTGATTCTCATCATGTACTTTTGTTTTTTCTTTTTTTATCTTGGGTTGGTCTTTGTTGGCTGACGAAAAGAAAGCCATGTTATATTTTCAAAAGGTAATGATCGAGAGTTGTGTCCCCGATGAAAATGAGAAAGAAGAAAGCCTTGGTGAATTGATGATGGTTTGAGTGCTCGGCCGCTGAGGTTTTCAATTTTTGGTTCTGGAGGATGCAGTGATCGGTCGGCAAACTGCCAACATTTTGCTGTCTTTGACCCCGTTGGTGATGCAAAGTATGGCCAGCTGTGTGGCTAAATGCGCGCTGGCGGGTGTTGTATATATGTATTGGCAGGTGGCTGCCGGTGCGCTTGCTGCCGGTGGCGAGCTCCGGCCATCACCATCGGCCGTTTTAAATTTTTGCCGGCCACGCAACACAACAAATCGATCAACAGCTTCTTCGAACAACGGCGAGCAAACTTGTTGAGGATACAACTACTAAAGCAAGATGTCGTCGACCATCGACTCCATCGACATCCATTGCCCATTCGATGCACATCTCCATCTTCGGCAACCGGGCCAATTACTCGAATTAGTGGTCACTCAAATCACCACCGGAGGAATTCAATCGGCTTATGTGATGGTATGCAAGATCTCCATTTCTTCACCATTTCATAGAGGAAGGCAGCTGATTCATCCGAAAAATGCCTCGTCAACTTCTCTAGCCAAACACCGTCCCTCCAATAACTAGTCTAGAAATGGCTGTCAGTTACCGACAGACTTTGGAATCACTCGAACCTTCCGTTCAGTTCTTCCTTTCTCTCTATCTGTCACCCTCCCTCACTCCTGAAGATATTCGTCAAGCCAAGTCCTCCGGTGTCACAGGCGTCAAAAGCTAGTAAGCTTTAAAAAAACATAATTATCAAGATAATAAAATAAGGATCTTTATTGTTCTGATTTGTTTAATTTTTATACAGTCCTCGTGGAGTGACCACCAATTCGACCGATGGTGTCGAATCATACGAGATTTATTATCCGGTTTTCGAAGCGATGGAAGAGGAAGATCTGGTATTGAATTTACATGGAGAAGTCCCATCCAGTGAGACCGGCGTCAGTATATTCTTCTTCTTCTCCTATCATTATAAACCATAAGAAAAAGAAATATAAAAGGTGGGATGCAGAGAAAAAACAATCACAGTAGACTGATCAATAGACTGATTCGGTGTTCTTTAATCATTCAGGATACTTGCGTCTGGAACGCCGAGTCGAAATTCTTACCCAAATTACTCGAAATCCATCGTCGATTTCCAAAGCTTAGAATAATCTTAGAACATGCAACGACCAGGGAAGCAATAGAAACTGTGAGTCAATCCAAAACGAAAAAAAAAAAAAAAAAATGTCCGAAAACAATCGAGTTGATAATTTTATTTTGTAGGTTAAAGCTTGTGGACCGACGGTGGCTTGTACAATCACCTTACATCATCTCTCTTTGACTATCGATGATTGGGCAGGTAATGGACTCAATTATTGTAAACCTGTGGCGAAGTCACCGGATGATCGTGAAGCATTAAGACAAGTGATTCGTGAAGGTATGAAAGCCTCATGACCGTCAACTTTTCCCTCTTTTTTTTTCTTCTCCCATGGATCTTGGGACATTAAATCAGAGGAGTTATTTTTTTCTCTTTTTTCTTGCAGGTCATCCACGATTTTTTCTCGGATCAGATTCAGCGCCACATCCGTTAGATCGAAAGTTACCCAAGACATGTACGGAGTGCTGTGCGGCGGGGATATACACGAGTGCATATCTCTTACCGACCCTAGCCTCGATCTTTGAGTCGGCCGTTCCCCCTCCACTAGCCGGTCAAGGATCCTCAGGAATGGAAGGACGGACGATTCATAGTCCTATTCCACTCGAAAGACTTCCTGATTTCGCCAGCACTTTTGGTCGTCAATTCTACCAGTTACCTATCCCCGTCAATCCTAGAACTGTCACCTTGATCAGGGACCCTTCCGCTTCTATCCTACAGAGCTTCGAACATCATTATCCTCACACTTCCTCTGATAATGACAGTTCGTCAATCTCGTCTGCACTCTCTCAGTCTCAGAAAAAAAGTGTCTCTCTCGTCCCTTTTTGGGCCGGTAGATTTGTCGGTTGGAAAATCAAGTAAAACAATGTTTCATCCTTGCATCTCAAAATTGAATCATTGAAAAACAATTAGTCTACAACACACATCTCCGACAACAAAAAAAGGCTGCTCAATTATCTAAAACACCATCAAAATCACCATATCCTTTCTTCTTGATACCCTCCTTCCCCTTTTTTTTTCTTATGCTTTTTTGATGTGATCAGTTAGTTTGACTCTGGTGCCAAGTTTATTAATTTGAATACCGTTGCACACAACATTCTAATGCACACTGGAGTTGCCTGAAAAATCTGGTCAGGCCACATGGGGAAACCACCTTCCTGTGTTGGGGATGGAGGAGAGAACGCTCCCTCTTTTTCAGAAGGCTAGGAATCTCGGCGTAATACATGGCCGGGAAATCGCTGAGATTTGTATCTTCTGATTCATTCAAGTAAATGTCTCAAACGATCTACTTCCCTCTCTTCCCATTCCTAATAGTTTGATAAGTCAACGACCACACATTCTTACATGAGCTCAAGTAGTTCTCATGGAATTCTTCACAGTTTCTCCGAAGAAAGAAAGGACTTACATTCCTTGGATTTCCGATCTCCAACAATCGACGCCTTAAATGTTCGAAAAAAGCATTCCTTTGTTTTTCGAGTCTACGACCAGCCAACTCCTGGCTCAAGTTTTTATCTTTTCCTCGGCAGAGGGGACAAGTAGCTTGGACTTTGCGCCATTCTTCCGCACAATCTTGATGAAAGATGTGGGAACAATCTGGCCAGCTCATCTTCTTATCTCCAACTTGATATTCTCCAAGACAAATTGAACATGCACCTTGTTCATCCTTGATTCACCGCCACATTGGAAACATCCAACCTTCTCAGATTTTCGTCCAGGCGCTAAGTTCAGAGGATGATGACTCACGTTAGGTCTAGCCGAACTCGAACCAAACGGATTCAACCGTCTCATACCGTCCAGAAATGTTTTGCTGCACTTTTGTTTGAGCGATCTACGTGAGTGACGCACATTTCGAGAATCATTAAACGGGGAGGAGACTCCCTGCTCCAATGGAAGTCCACAAATGAGGATTGATACTTCGAAAAGCTTTGATGATCAGAAACGAGAACGATGAGGTGAATGAACATCCAGAAAGTTCAATTCGCTTAGAAGCGAATGAATTGCAAACCTTGGCAAAAATCGGTCGATCGGCAAAAAAGATGGGATGAGGAAAATGTAAGATTCAGAATAGCGAAGTGGAACTCATCTTTGTCAAGTCAAGAGCTGAAGCTGCAAAGTTTCATTTTAGCTGTCCCTGGCAATTCTGTAGCCTACTTGAAACTTGCACTTATGCAGGTGTGGTATGGATCCAAATTCCTTATTCCTTAGCTGTTTTCAAAAAAGCAATTCTGGTTGCCAGTTTCCTACTAAAAACAATACGTACCATTCATGTGTTAAAATGCCCCCCATCTGCTCCCATCTGATGCTGTCTGACAATGACAACCTCCACAGGTACCTCTTTGTTTACAAACAAACTGATTCTGTGACTTGACACTTATATGGACTTTTTGGTTCTGGACAAATTGCAGGCAAGACTTTCTTGAAACATTACATACCTTAAGAGGATTCCCAACCAACACAAAATAGAAGAGTCCTAAACTTCTAGAGAATTTGATGAGGGACAGTGTGATTGGATTTGAGTATGAAGGAGAGCATTCACTCAAGGTTCATTGAGCAAAATAAATTTCAGTCAATCATGGAGCTTTGATGAAAAAAGAGGAGGAGTGAAACAAATCTCAAGTCTAATATATCTATGGAGAAACCCAGGGTATCCTGGCTTAGCTTCACTCCCATCTTGCTGGTCCACTGCTCAAGAGTGTGTATACATCTTTTTTTGATGATTCTCCATAAGATCTTATAAGTTGAAAATGTTACTCATGACTCAGTTACTGTCACCAAATGTGCCAAGAGTAAAGCAGTTTGAAAAAAAATGATCTGGTTATTGTTGCAACCACTCAAGTGTTTGCCTCTGGAACACCAAGTCAAAATTCTTTCATAAATTGCTTGAAAGTCAATTTCCACTTGCTTAGAATCAACTTGGAATGTGCAACAACAAACGAAGCAATACCAACCATGAGTGAAAAGAAAATCACACCAAAAAAACACACTCACTCCGAAAACAATTGGGTTAATAATTCTGTTTTTTAAACAAGGTTGAATCAGCAATCACCAGTGGTACTCTGGCCTTGGTGCACAATTGCCAGAGATTCTTTTCCGTGACCTGGTTGAGACCAATCAGGTTGACAAGGAGGATCCTTACCGGAAACCTGATTGGTCTCAGCCAGGTTGCTGAGGAGGGGTCCTCCCCAGCAACATGGCCAAGAACAACTTAGTCTTGATCAAGCCACAGAGGGGGGATTTGGGGGCCGGGTACCCTTGAAGGTGTTCAGGCAAGACTGGATAAAAAATGAAAAATGAAATCCCCTCAAGGAGAAACTATATTTTGATGAAGATTAAGTTTTTTAGAGGATAAAGATATGTACAATCTTGTGTTGATGAGAAAACATGGAAAACTGGCTGTGAGAAACTATCAAACTAAACCTGGATTTAGGTCCATAATCCATATTATAAACTTGGGGCCTGTACTGTGGGATTCAATCTAGAAAAATGGTCATGTTTTCTGTTTTCTATGCAAAAATTGAATAGAGGGGAAGAGATCCAGTGTTGAATGTCTTCATTTTTGGGCTTGCAACTGGCCTCTGGTGATGGTAACTTTTGATTATATAAGAATTTGAGGAAGATCAATCATGAAAGAATATTAAATTTTAAATTTTCTTTCATGCCATGTGGTGCAGTGACAGCAGGCCTTTAAAAAAAGGTACCCAAATACCACCGGTTTTTTTGCCCAAAATTGGACACCAGGTACCGCACCCTGCACCACTTGGCAGGTACCATCAGGGATAGAGGGGTACCCACCTACAGGTGCTGGGTATCATCAGGGATAGAGGGGTACCCACCAAAGGGTGCTGGGTACCACAAGGCCATCTCTAATGTGCACTTCAAGTTTTTGGAGTGCATGTTTGTGTACTACAACAAAATTGGAGAGAACACCTTAGCACTCCAGTAGGTCTGGAGCACACATTTCCCCCAATCAACCTGAGACTTTGGAGTGCACAGTTAGTCATGAATTTGAATTTTCACTCAATCTTGAGCAATCCCCACAAAAACAGTACAGTCTCTGCATCTTTGGGGTGAATTTCTCACCCTCTGGAGGAAAGCATACACACAAAAGATGTAATTACTAAGAATGTTCTCAAAAATGACATTGCCCGGTGTCCCCCAATGTATGAATTTTTGAAAAATCTGTTTTTTTTTTTTTTGGTTCTCCATATATACAATTTCAGTGTGGTCTATTGCCTCAAAATGGTTGCATCATCAAATATCATTTGCTTAGTCGTCGAATTACACGTTCCCAACGTGCTACTTGTCTCTTTTCCCATTCCTGATATATAGTTTCATAAATCAACAAATGCATATACATAAGCACAAAGAAAAAAAGAAACGACTCACATTGCTTGGATTTCCCAGATTCAACAATTGCTGTGTTGCGTCTTCCAAAGTTGCAACTCTTTTTTCTTCGTCTTTTTTGGCTTGAAGAGCAGCCAGTTCCTTGCTTAGCTTTTCATCTATTCCTCGGCAGAGGGGACAATGATCTTGATTTTTGCGCCATTTCTTCGCACATGCTTTATGAAAATTGTGCGAGCAAACTGGCCAACTCATCTTTCTATCCAGTAAATGAAATTCTTCAAGGCATATCAAGCAGGTACTTTCTTCATCCTAGATCGATCACCGCCATATACAAAACATTCCATTTTCTTAGATTCTCGTCTTGTCTTTGATAACAGAGCATCCTGATGTTACACAGGGTGATGACTCACATCAGGTCCAGCCGAACTCGAAGCGAATGGATTCAACCTCCTCATACCGTCCAGAACTGTTTCGTTGCACTTTTGTTTGAGCGATCTGCGTGAGTGACGGATCTTTCGAGAACTATTTGGGGAGGAGGCTCCTTGCTCAAATGGAAGCCCATAAATGAGAATCGATACTTGGAAAAGCTTTGATGATCAGAAACGAGAACGATGGTCATGTTAATTAACATCCAGATGCTTCAACCAGCTCGAAATGAATATACGTAGCTGACCACAATTAGTCGCAAACTTTGAACCAGCAGTAGCATTGAGTACGAGGTAAACTTGGAACAAATCGGTCGATCAGCGAAAAAATGGGATGGGAAAAGCGCAAGCTCCAGAGGAGCGAAGAGGAACTCACCTTTTATCAAGTCGAGAGTTGAAGCTGCAAAGTTTCATTTCAGCTGTCACTGGCAATTCCGTACCAAATTCAAAACTTGCTATTATGCAGGTGTGGTATGGATTCAAATTATATATTCCTTAGCTGTTATCGAAAAAGGATTTCTGATTGCTTTTTTCCTATGTAAAAAACAAATGCGACATCTGATTAAAATGTTCCCCCTTGTTTGCTGATACCCGACGGATGCTGCCTGATGATGACGACCCCCACGGCCAAAGTGATTCTGTGACTTGACACTATCGACTTGGTAGTCCTTGAAAAATCGCGGATGAAATTTTCTTGAAACAATTCCTGATACATATATATGAATCTTCAGAGGATTCCCAACCAACACAAAACAGAAGAAATATTCCTAAACCTCTGGATAAGTCGATGGGACATAATATTACAGTGTTATTGGATTTGAGTATGAAGAAGAACATTCACTCGGATAATCGAACGAGATATTTCCAGTTGACCATGGGGCTTTGATGCGAAACAAAAGAGGAAGAGTCAAACGAATCACAGGACTTATCTATGGAGAAACTCGAGACGTCCTCAACGTCACTATCTTAGCTTCACACCCGCTCTGTTGTTGCGGGTCCAATGCCCGAGAGCCTTAACATCTTCTTTCGGTGATTCGTCAGATCTTCCTCGAAAATGTTGGCCGTGACTCGGTTACTTATAGGCCTATGTAGTTACTTACACCGAACATGCCACGAGGAAACCGTTTACTTCGCTCGACGTGGTTTACGCGCTCAAACAGCAAGGTCGAACGCTGTACTGCTTGGGAGCTTAAGATAAGATGATTGATTCATCTTGTCCAAAACTGTCCATTAATCGTCTCTGGTGCTTCCATCATTTAAGTCTTGCAACCTTCTTGTTGGCTTTCAGTTATTCTTGATACCATGGAATCTAGTGTGACCATCTTCCACCAATTTACGACTCATAAAATCGTGCTTGAAAGTACTCTGCGAAGAAGCCAGGCTTAGCCAGCTTGATTCATCAAGATCCGAAATGAAAAACCGCCTCTGCGTGGTACCTGCAAACAGTCTGCAAAGCCTACAGCATTCTTGGTGTGACCAAACTGACGGCCCAATAACAACTGCCCAACAATTACACCAATATTGAATGCACTATTCATTTCATCGTATTAAGCACGATGCAGTCACGCACATTCCATTTGCAAAGCAGAACACAATCTAGTTAGACCAGCTTCTCTGATGGCAAGAGGGTTGTTATCTCGGAAAGTGAGGTGACCACGTCCATCTTTCAAATATTATTTCCACTCATAAAAGGATTGCTGCCATGATTACTAGGGGAGAGTTGCCCCTGATTCATGGGATCAAAAACCGGCAAAAACAAACTCTCCGTCCGGGAATTGAACCCGGGTCACCCGCGTGACAAGCGGGTATACTGACCTCTATACTAACGAAGACGGTTGTTGTGGGTTTACGTAATGTGCGCTCCTCACCCCCGTGGGGATTTGGGGTAAGCTCGGGTTAAGTCACAGCACTCGACGCGACCGACGAAGACAGCCGACAGAGAGCGACTTCATCATCACCAACACTCGGATATCCACACCAACCACCTCATCTCAACAGCGCAACCATCCACAACACAAGAAAGAGCAGACGAGATGGCCAAGGGGAAAGACAACCCTGCCCAGACGATCTTCAACATCGCCGATTCGGAGGACGACTCAGTGGATCTCTACAAGGTATTACAGTTAAGCTCACGCGAGGCGACCGAAGCTGAGATCCGAACCGCCTATAGAAAACAAGCGCTCAGATATCATCCCGATAAGATATCTGCCTCAAAATCCGAGGAAGAGAAGCTTCACGCACGCCAAAAGTTCGACCAAATCGGATTGGCTTACAAGATTCTAAGCGACCCCAAATCTCGAGAACGGTACGATAAGACAGGGAAGACCGATGAGAACGCGTTCCTGGACGGTCTTGATGACGAGGCTAGTTGGTCGGCCTACTTCAAAGACCTTTGGTCGGGCGAAGTTAACGCTCAAACGATCGAGGAATTCGCGAAGAAATATCGAGGTATGCGATCTTCGGTTTTCAATCGACTCTTGTGGTTGATGATGAGGATTTCTTGCTGACTTACTCGTCTATTTTTGTCTATGGCTCGGTTGTGCTTAGGTTCGGAGGAAGAATTGGATGACCTACGCGAACATTACCTGGAATTCGATGGCTCATTACCGGAGATTCTATCGCATACGATGTGCGCAACCGACGACTGTGAACCCCGATTGGTCAAGCGAATCGATAAGATGATCAAGGATGGCGTTCTACCAACGAATCCCAACTGGGAGAAGACCAAGAAGGACACCAAAGCTCGTGCCAAACGACGTAAGATGGCTGAACAAGAATCTAAGGAAGCTGAAGAATTGGCTAAGGAATTGGGGGTCCATGATAAGCTTTTTGGAAACAATGATTCCAATGCAGGTTCCAATTCTCAAGAAAGAAAGAAGAAAAACGGCAGCAAGAAACAAGATGATCAATCGGCTTCAGAAGATTCATTAAAAGCGTTAATCCGAGCTAATGGAGCCAAGAAACACGAAGCTTTGATCGCTAAATTGGAAGCTAAGGCACTCTCTGAATCATCAACTAACAAGAAAAAAGGCAAAAAGCCCAGTCAAGTTAACTCTAAGAAGAGGAAAAGTTTATCGGAATTCGATGCCGAAAAAGATGGAGAGATGGAAGGAGATGAAGGAGCTTCTACAAGCGGTCCGACTGAAGACGAATTCAACAAGATTCAGGCCGGTTTAATCGCTAATAAAAAATCTAAAATTGACTCTAATGATCATTCTAATCAACTCAAATCTTCTTCTTCTAAAGATAAGAAAAAGAAAAAGAAGAACTAAATTCCTATTGTAACATTGTGTACTCCCCAGATTATTCCTTTCCTAGTTTTTTTAGCATATTTCTTTTTATATGGAAGATTTTTTTTTTTATGAAAGTGAAGAGATGTACAGTTTATAAATTGTTGACATCAACTTGAAATTTTGTGGAATGAAAGACAGATAGAAAAGGTGTCTTGATATTCCATGCTAGGATAAAAATCAGGAAAGTATGTATCATAGATCATGATGCCATCTTGAGGTTAGCTGATCCTTGTAAGATATGTTACCCCAGGTTGAAAGCTTTAGATAAGATGGCCATGGTGCTGTATGTAATATGTCACCTTCAATCTCATACACCCACATCCACCAGATTTTGGCACATTTGTAGTTAGTCAACATGGGCCCCAAAGATCTCTACAATATAAGCTTCACCAAGCATGTAGAGTCTATCTATAAAGCCCGCAGATTTCCATCTTAGGCTCTGACTGAAAAGTGGCTCCAAATATGTTGTGAGCTCTGGTTGGATTCACATTTGCATATCATTGGGCAATGGGAATGTCATCCAGTAGCAACTATCACTTTTTAATTCTCATGGGGATTTACAACATACATCCAGAATCATGAAGAAGCCCACAGCAAGAACAGAAACTGAGTGTACTATGGAGGCACAAGTACGTAAGTAGGAGGAAAAAGAATGTGATGGCTAAATTGCATAGAGAAGAAAGCATAATGTGGAGACAAATACAGCACTATTTGTAGTCCACATTACGTAAGAGAAAGAGAAGAAGGAGAATTGTGAGAAGAAAGAATCATGAGACAGTCATGGAGATCATTGTCTATGTCATTTATGACATAGAATGTTGTGAGATGTAATCATTACTCATGATTACATAGTTGAGCTACATGCACCACATAGGTTTGAAATTTACTTAAAATAATGGAATGAAATGGAACAGGAAGGAAAGTTGAAGTTGAAGTTTTATTTTCTTTATTAATTTTGCTTATCTTTTTCAAGTAGAGAAGCAAAAAAATCACTTCACAACAACCAAAAAAAAAAACCAACAGAATGAAAGAATTTAAATGATAAATCCCCTACAATTGATTGATTGACCCAGGAGATTCTAATTTTTTTTTCCTTCTCTGTTGATGATTCTCATAGAATTGTACCCAATCTAAATGTGTAAAGAAACAGTGAGATAGAGGGAGAGAAAGAGAAAAAAGAGGAAAGTTAAAGAATACACATATGATAGAAGAAAGATTAGATTTAGTTCAAGAAAGTAGGTTTAAGGTATGCAAGCAAGCCATTAAGGAATTTGTTTAGTATGCAATGTATGTAAATTGGGTACAGATAGAGAGAGGAAAAATGAAATGAAGAACATATGTCAGTACACTAATTCACTAAAAGAAGCAGCGGGAATCAAGAGGGAAGTGTTGAGTTGATGGGTGGACTATAAGAGGAAGGTGTGAGAAGAAGTCGAAGACCATGAAGCTCCCCGCCCGCCCGAAGCCGAATTGGAAGGAATAATACTGCTGGTTGTCAGTAGACAAAGAAGAGAGAGACCGGGAGGGTCTAAGTGATAGGATTTGAATTACGCCAGGAGTCACCGGTAGGGCCTTTCCAGATAGCCAATCCCAGGGCAAGGATGAGGCCGATTGAAAGACTCATAGGGATGGCCGAGGTGAGCAATAAGGACCATCTGGAGGGCGGGATGACTGGCGTGGGAAAGTCGGGCGGGGAGGATGATCGGCGACGTCGTGGTCGTATTTGGGTGAGGGGTTTAAGAGAATGGGCTGATGAGAAGTTAGAAGTGGTTGCTAACCCAATTTGTTTTAGTGAGCGAAGATAAACTGTTTTTTTCAAAGGAAATCATGTTAGTCTACCTCGATAGATCGCTTGTTCTTATTTTTTGTATAGAAACATCAAGAGTAAAATAAGAAACTGACAGATATCTAAGTTTCGTTCTGTTTCTTCTTCCGTACCCACTGGGACACCGGTTAAATGAAGTTCAAGCTTGGTCGAATCGGAGCCCTCGGTGAGTGAGGTCTTCAATTTACCGAAGTGACCTAGATCGAGAGCGTATCAAAGAAAACAAGAATGGTCAATCATGATGTGACAGCCGCCAACGAGGACGAAGTTCTTTTTTATTTTTAAATAAAAAAAGAACGGTTAGAGAGGAGAGAGCTTACCGGCTGGCCATGTAGGAGCTCGCCAGGTGGTGACCATCTCCTTAGGACGGTCAACGCTGATCACCTTACCGATCACATTCCCACCAAACAAAGACATCTCTGCACCCACTTCGGGTTTCATCTGTTCCAAATAAATAAGGCAAGTAGACAAAGTTAGATCGGGAGAGGAGAGAGTGTGAGGGTGGCTACGGAAGAAATTGACATATGCCATTGGAATTTTAAAACCAAAGAGAGCTGACCTTGGCAGGATTACGACTCCACATGGGTATCTTACTCTCGTCAGTCAAGAAGTCAAATAGATCAGATGCACTGCACATGAACTGTCCATCTATTCGAACACTAGAGGTATTGACCACATTGCCCTTGTTGGATTTTGTGGAGGGATCATCTGCCGGTACCGGGGCGGCTGTGGGGGCCGATTTGGTCTGGAGGTTCGCGGCCGAAGGTTGTGGGGTTGTTGTCCCGGAGCCACCCGGAGTCCCGGCTGGAGAAAGCCCATTCTCTTTGTAGAATCCTGCACCATGTTCGTCAATGATGGCCTGTGGAAAATGATGATCATTTCAGTCAGACTGAATAGTCGATTCTTGGGTTGGTCTGATGAGCTGACCTTGGGAAACGCTTGGAAGATCTTGCACATCGCTGGCCCGAGACTTTTCTTGGCCCGACTTTCGATCTCCGGCTTACCCCCGGAATCTAAGGCGCCATCGAACACATAGTCCGACTCGGTCATATCGTGAGAGATTTCTGGGATCGTCAGGGTGCCGCCGGTGCCATGTCCCGACCAACGGACAGTCATCCTCAAATCGTAAATGGTTATTAATCTGTGCAAGTTCATCAATTGTTGTTGATGACCAAAAAAAAAAAAAGAAAAACCCAGTTTGCATTAATCTTCATGGTTCTGTTGATTAGTTTTCTGCTATCTTGATTCATGTAAGTTGACAAACTTGGCTTTTCGCATTCCTAGTTCACAGTCTCCCTCAAACGTGGAAACACTTTCGACCTTCAATCCGTCTTGTTCTCCAATGCTTAAGAGCTTTTCATCGAACTTTAGGTACACCGAACAAAGCCTGTGTCAATTTTCTCGGAAGAAAACTCTTCTTTGAAACGAAACGATTGACTAACCCAATCTTTAGCCCATCTGGAGAGGTCTTTAGTTCTAATTGTGAGGAAGGAAGGAAAAACATAAGACATTGGTCAATATATGTAGACTTCAGTTTTTTTTTTCTCAAGCTGATCAAGACTTGCCTCCAATGGTAATTCGTGATAAAGTTCGACATCCTCTGGTTTTCTGATAGAAAAATCTGCTGAGTTCCTTGGGGGAGGAGTGATGATGAAATGGTATCAGTTGAGGGAGATGGTTGGAGTATGTAGTGGTGGGGTTGTCTTCAACTGTTCGATCGACCGCTGTGATGTGATGTGATGTGATGATGTGATGGGGTGTCTCGGGTTGGTGGTCGAATGGTCGAGTCAAATCCCATCTGGCCGACGACCTTCGAGAAGCTTCCAGTCGATCCCAAGCCACCGGAGTGCCGGACGTCAGCTCAACCCCAAGCTGATCTATTCCAGATGCTCAAGATATCCACATTCCATTGTTCAAAACCTCTTTATGGTAGCACATACTGAACCAGACAGCTGATTCATGGACTAACATGGGTTAAGCAGTTAGAACTACATCATTCAAACATTCTCTTTGCTGTAGCATCATGTTGTCCTCCACACCACCCCATCCTCTGACACGGAATTGATAGTTATTACAAAACCAAACAAATAAAACTACATGAGGAAAGTACAGGTAATTAACTGATGCTTGAGCTAGAGTTCACCCTGATCATATAATCAGTCAAGATACAAATTATGTATCATCTAACATAGAATTCTCCAGGCATGATTATGGTTTTCAAGACCGGCCTTGTTCTACTAGATTTCTCACTTCTTCTGCAACCCCATAGCTTGCCTTTCAAACAAACAAAATAACCAGGAATATGTCAGCAAAGAAGAGCTAATCCCAAGTTCAAACAGAGGTCACAAGAAGGAACACGGTCTTTTTTTGATTCACTCACTTGGAATCCTCCTCCCCTGCTCGATACAAAGATTGTGAGCAGGAAAGAGGTCAATTTTAATTCATCAATTTGATTGAAGAGGAAGGATGAGACGATAGAAGACTAACCCGATTCCATAACAATGGACCAATATCCCAGTTGAATTCTGAGTCTCTCCTTGACTAGTAGATTTAATGTGGAAATCTTCACGTTCGACACGAGGGCCATTCTTATTATGAGGTCTCAGAGCCGCGACATGTTCCACTATTTGGACGCCTTCAACCGTGCCGTCATGGCTGAGATCGGGCCTGATTTTGAGTGCCTCGGACAAGATCCTATGAGAGATTTGGTCATCGATCTCCAATGAGGAGTCGCCAGGTTGATAAGAGCCTCCCAGGACGACCTCTTCGCCTTCTCCCGGGATCGTGGGTGGACGGGAACAGATGTAGATACATTTCTCGTCGTCCCGTGTGATCAGTTGGAGCGGTTGAGGGGGGCGGATGAGCATGGTCTGGCCGCGAATCGGCTCCATCATTCCGTCCGACACGCCCCCTATCTTGCCCGCGCCTAGACCACACGCATTGATCACTATCTTTGCCGCCGGTAGACCGCACTCGGGATGGCCCTCAAAAGCCTCAGTGACGGTCTCGAGACGATGGTGAATGATGCGGACGTCATATTTGGCTAGTTGTTGTCGAAGGTAATCTAGGTACCGGATCGGGTTCAGGGTCACCGATTTGCAGATCAGGCCGTCGACTTTTCCTTCGGGTCCATTCGCTATTTCTTCGGCGTTCATTTTTCGAGCCTTCCAGTGAAAATGTTTAGCCTCAAGTCAGTTCACTTGCGTAGAGAGAGAATCTAGCGCATCCAATGATTTCTTCACCTCTGGGAACAGATCCATATACCACGGTAATTCGGACAACGGATGGTTGTAATACTTTTTGAAGTCGGTTTTCTAGTAGCCACCGAGAGATGAAGAACCTCAGCACGTGTTGATGGAGGATGAAGATAGAGAGTTTTAGCCGTCTGAGACCGCTGACCATGACGACCGAAGGATCTTGCTCAGCGATCTCCCAAAGAGGCTTAAACGACTTCCTCTCCCATGAGGCCACCCTTTTCTGTAGCTCGGTCTCGGGTTGTGGAGTGAAGGGGTGGAAGAAAGCGCCCTAAATTTAGAGAACATCCCGAGATCAGAAAATGGTTCTTTCTTTACCCTGTTCATCACTTTTCATTTTTTCCATTCAAACTGATGAACCGAAAGTCTATTTATGACATACCGCCCAAGGAGAAGCAAAATCGGGCTCCACTGGAAGCTTCGTGGACGGGTCTTGAGACCATCTAGCCATAGCGTTTTCGGCGGTCACCACAGTGACACGGTATGGTGATCCGGGCTGTTTGGCGAGCTCGAGAGCACAGGTGAGGCCAAGAACACCGGATCCGATGACGTTGACATTGGACATGACAAGAGATACTGGCGGCTCAACCGATCAGATTCAGGGGGGTAGGAATTCGATATGAATGACTTGTTAAGGATGATTTTAAGTGAGCAGTGATGCTTATGTTTCTTCAGGCTAATATTTAAGATTTCTTTGGAGAGATCAATCGATTTCACTGGAACCCATGAGCACTGGCCATTCCACTATCAACTCATCCAAATGCCAATGGAGTTACGCAGTCGGCTGTTTCTCGAGCCGAGCCTGACTTAACCAAGTCCTTCCTCACTTACATATCACAACTCCCCAAGCCAAATTTTTTGGTTGGGACATCAAATGCAAATGGCTGGCAAGTGAATGGATTAATTTGTTAAGGCCCTGGCTCCTTAGCCTTATAATGCTCTACAGGCCTCGAGCCTGGCTCAGAGCCAGATTGAACTTTTAGGACCAAGCTTTCATTTGGCAGGTGGTCTCATCTCCTCATCTGCCAGCTTGGTTCCCCTTCTATGATTTTTTGAAAGTAATGAAAAGATCATTCCTGTTCACCACCTAACCCAATAGGGGGTTTCAAAACTGCCTCAAGAGCCTGTGCAGGTCAAAACCCAGTAAAGAGAAAGACCACTTGTGAAACTGTGCTCCTGTCTAGGAAAACCCTCCAGGAACAGGAATCAGGTCTGAAATTCACATCAAACTGGATCAAATGCTGTTGTATACAAATCCCTGTTTTTTGATTCCTAACCACAAGCCCCTCAATCGGAGGGCCTGAGATCAGGCTGGTGCAAAGCACCGGGCACCCCTCCAAAGGAGGGACTTGCCCTGAAGGTCTGTGTTTTTGTGTGCAAGCTGGGAGCTGTTGATAGGGAAAAAGTTTCCTCCAACCATTTCCCTCCCTTTCCACTGGAATGAATCTCTGCCTTTTAGACAGACAAAATCCCCCAGATCTTCTCTATCTTTCTGTGTAACACTTTAGGTACACAGGCCGGTTATTGGGCCCCACCCCCCTTGAAAAATGGACATTTTCTTGGGAGTTTGATGACAGTATTCCAGTTTCACCAAACGGATTCCTTGATCTTGCCCAATACTTTTTCTGTACACATTTATGGCTACATACCTTCTAGGTATGACACATACCTATGCTAACTGTAAGGCTAATACTATGTGTTGTACCACATTATATGTGATTAGCTGCTTTTGAGCTGGGATCTGGTGCCCCACTTAACATCCATCAGATGGATTATTGTTTAATAAAAATGTGACAAAAAAAAGTGATCAACAAGGTGAGGTGCTCAGCTTCTTGGGGAAATTTTCCGCTAACCATTTGGTGGGATGGCCTAGTAGTAATGAGGTTTTAAATGTGAAAGAGGAGAGAAAAGCCACAAAAAGCCCAAGCTTCCAGACCAAATTTCCGACTTCCCTCCCAAGCTCCTCTTTCAGAGGCTCGCTTTGCAAGGTGCCCCCGGCATGCTGGGGTTCCCCCGGCCCTCTGGAACGAGGGGATTGTGATAAGCTAGAAGCCCCCCTCCCCACAGTCAGCTCACCTTGCAACATTGAGCGGGTCAACAGGATATAATCAGACCAACCCATCTCACCCAACCACTCAATGTCATCTCTTTCATTTTCCAAGCCTCACACTTGAGCCTCTGTAGTTATGCCACCCAAGAAAACTAGAACCCCAGTGACAATACAATGTCTGACCTTAACCACCCCATCAAGCACTCATTCCAAAAAGAAGAAAGCATCAGTTGCACAGATCTGCCTTCTCCAAGAATGTGCTTCTGATCCTGCTCAAAACTTTTAGCTCAACTGCACTGAATTGTCTGCTACTTTCTGGCAGCCAAAACAAGACATTACATGGCTCAAAACGGTAAAAGTACAACTTAAACTAATAGATTTAGCTCAATTGAAGATTATACCTGGGAGGACATTCATTGTATAGACAGAGAACACAACTATAGAAACTGTAATCCTGGAATACAAATCAAAACACACCACAATGGACAAATAATGGAAAGTGATACAGAAGATACTGGTAAAGATGGAAATTGATATTGTAGCACGGAGGGTGTTGTCAGACCATCTCTACCACAAGTTGCTATCAGCTGCCAAACCTCAAAGTTTGGCAACTGTGGCATGTTTTCAGCAGCTTGCGTCAAGTTGGTATTACACCACAAGTTGCTATAAAAGCAACTGGAGAATATGAAAGGTCCCCCCTGGGAGGCAAAGACTTCACTCAATATTGGCTGGTATTGGTCCTCTTTCTCTAGTGACTGGTACCAACCATGGAGAGTGTTTACTATCCGGTGACCGGTACCATCCCAAGAGATGTACACTCTCCATTGACTGGTGCAACTGGTACCAGTCACTTCTCTAGTGACCAGTAACTGGTATTGGTCTTCAAGAGTATAGACTCTCATGTGACCAATACCAGCACTTAAGAGGACACCATTGTTTTTGACTGGTATCAGTCTTTGAGAGTGTACACTCTCTAGTGACCAATACTTCTAGTGACCAATACTGGTCTCTGAGAGTGTACATTCTCTAGTGACCAATACCGGTCTCTGAGAGTGTATATTTTCTAGTGACCGGTACCGGTCTTTGAGAGTGTATGTACACTCTCTCAAGTCTGGGAACTGGGTGTCATGCTGTGTTGGGTGTGGATGCAAGCATTGCAAGGATTCCTTGTGATACTTGCAAGGTTGAGCTGCTATCCTGATGCTATATTTGGTATTGGGATAGCAGCTGACAGGCGGTTTGCTGAAAATTTTGAGTGTTTTGCAGCCCCAGTGGAGCTGCTAAATTGAGTTTGTGCTGCTATAATTGGTTTAGCAGCATGGTTTAGCAGCCGCAGTGGAGATGGTCTCAGGAGACAATGTAGCGGACACACTGTCTCCAGGAGATAGACAGGGACAACAGCCATAATTTCAAATCCCAGTTGTAGTTCCCCTTGATTTAGAATCTAGATTGTTTCAGTCAGTATTCTGGGTATTGTTTTAAATTTCAGCCATACCAACACCAAAAGTACAGCTTGTCAAATTTCAACAGTCAATATCCCAATCTGCCCTAAAGTTCTAACCTCTGTTCTTCACCAACTTGCCTCCCTATTGCAATGTCTGACCTCTATAAAATATTTTGCATCACTGCTAAGAGCCTATCCCCTGTTGTACCATTGGCTCAGGAAAGGCACCAATTCCTTGCCTACAAATGGACCACCCCCTTGAGTTTTAACACAGTTGTAAAGAAATATTTGAAGTTTGCTTGTGACACAAGAGACCAACTTTTTGACTGCCATTGAGTGCCCAAGATATTTACAACTTCTGCTGTGGGGCAGGCCAAACCACCAAAGAAGGGACCCCTCACAATATTGCCTCCAACACACAAAGTAAATCCCTAGGAGTTATTCCCCCCATTGAGTCACTTTTCCACTTTGCTTGATTGGGCTGGGTTTGCTTTTCAAACCCCTCAGCACTTGCTCAACTCAAGTTTGACCTCTTAGAGCATCCGCATCAGTTGTCAACTTAGCTTGGATTAAGGCACTTGATCTGACTGTGCAACCGCATTGGATCAATCAGATTAAGACAGGATCAACTTGATCCAGGTCTCCATTTGGAGCTAGTGAGGTCTAATTCTACACCTCACTAATCCTGGGAATAAGTCCTACATGTATATTCAAAAGGCATGAAGCCTGCCCACACATACAAACTATCTCCAATCAAGTTGGATCAACTGACCTCAAATGCATAACACATAGATTTAAACCAACTCAGCCACCACCAATGCAGCTGGAGGCCAAGATCACCTTAATCTTGTCCTAATCTGAGCTTGCTAATCTAATCCTCTCAACTACACCAGCTGGGAATGGAGATTGGATTAAGTTAGCTCCATAGGCAGTTTTGGAGATAAAAGGTTACAAATTTATACCTTGGTAATCCTGGGATTAATCAAGGTTGCTAATCCTTACCAATCCAATCAACCAATGTAGATGCTCTGAAACACACAGGAAGGGGGGTCAGTCCAAGGCATGCAAATGTTCAGGGGCTTCAATTTTTTTAACTCTCAGAAAGTTACAGGGAAAACCCACACACTCAGTTTCTGTGCAGCTGTGATTCTAATAAATTTGGATTATCACTGGTGAATTTTGAGTGCAAAAAGGGGTGGTAGCAGATGAATTTTGACTGATGATGAGATTTATTGATATAGAATTTGAGCAAGTAGAGATGATGTTAAGTGACTTCAAACAAAGAACAATTGATCAACTTGGCAGTCTTGGTCTACAAAAACAATGTCTCCATCCAATTGCCAGCCAACAAAGACAAGAGTACATCATTAGTCAACAGTGTTGATCTCCAATTACCATGTATTGTTTTACCACAATGCAGACGCTTGTCCTACTTCCTCTCTCTTCCCTAATTAGACACTGCCAACACATCCATTGTTCCATCTGTGGCTTTCATTTTTATTTGTGGGAGAAGGGGGGGGGGGATAGTGGATTGTATTTTTTTTCTTAAGCAAGCTGTTCAAAATAACAGCTGATCTCACTGATCATATTCTTATGATATACATGCAAACTTAGGGGAACATTTCAATGACTAAATTCTCTGGATCTATGAGACACACTTCTTTTTTGGTTCTCCTCCCACTCATTCAACTCTCAATTCATTTCAGTTAGGCAACACCAGAAAGTCTGAGGAACAGATATGGTAATTTTTTGCTTTCATTTTTATAGGGTAACAATCTATGGGGCATTGTTATTTGTTTTTTGTTAATCAGTCTAGTGATGCGTGGAAAGGGGGAGGGAGGTTAAAGTGGCTTCAGTAGTTGGTTGTCATGATTTGTAAGGAAGGTAAATAAAACACATTTGGCATGAAAAATAAGGTATCAACAATGACAAACAAAATAAAGAATGAGATGAAGAAGATATAGATCTAGGTTCATGCGGGTAAGGCAAAGAGGGGAGCCTGGCTAGCGAGGTCAAGAAGGATGTTTGGTTGTTGTGATTGGGGTTGGTCTGGACTTGAAGAGCGAGTAGGCTTTGCAGACTTGTTAGACTCATCAGGGCTAGATTCGATGGTCTGATCAATAGCGGCAGATCCAGACCAAGGAATACTATCGAAGAGAAAAGAGATCGATTCACTGTAGAAAGGAACAACACCCATAGCTGTTCAGCATGATGATTTTTTTCTCTTATCAGGTGGTAAAGAGGTTAAGTTTTCCTCAGGGGGGGGGGGAAGAAGAGAGGGAGAGAGCGTTGTACCCGTAACGACTACGCCTGATCGTCTTGGCAAGCACCTACGCGATGTCCACGCACACTAGTCTGTTACAGTCCTCGAAATGTTCATGTTGGGGGATAGTATTTGTCTTCACGAGCTCGAGTTATCGATGTTCGAGATCGCCTGGCCAGAGGGGATGTCGTGAGTGATGAGGGCAATGACATTGACGGCGCCGGCGGACTGGTGATTTTCGGTGGCTAGGGATAGCGTACCACGCCTTTAGATGCGTCCAATCGAATGTCGTCAAACACAAGCGCACACGCACGCTGAAGAGAGATGATGGCCTGTATAGAAGGGGGGAACGAGCACAGACCATGTCATCACCTAGGATCGCCGTCTGGCCCTTCACACTACCCGCAAGGATCATGATCCGCGAGACCTCGTTAGCTTTCTTACGCTCCTTATGGAAAGAGGGCGAAATCAAAATCGAGGCGGGCGGTGATCGAGGAGGCACTGAGGAAGCGGGGCTGTGAGCATTCAGTCGTCTTTCCGTCCATCTCTCTCAGCTATGTATGCAACACAAACTGCTCCGGGTTCTCTGCTCCATCAAAAAAACCTCACTCACCGCTTCGCTCCTCCTGCATCCGGCGAAACGATCACTGCATTCTTCACATCCACGTTCTCTCGGATATATTGGACTAGTGTTGGCTCGGCGTATAAGCTAAGAAATCATTTTCCCTCGAGTCTATCAGCTTCCTAGTCAATTTCCTAGTTTTTCTCGTTTGTAGAAGTGTGCTTACTTGTCGACCGGACAATCAAAGAACCCTTGGATTTGAGATGCGCGTAAGTCCATCGTCTGTTGGTAAACCAAACAATTAAAAACGAGGTTTATTTTTATCAATATCGTTAATTTGTGCGAGATAAAGGAAAAGGTATGACTGACAATGACATGATGAGCGCCTGCTTCACGGATCATATTCGCAACCAACTTGGCGGTGATTGGGGCTCTCGATTTATCCTTCTTGTCTTGACGTCTATATAAGAGATTGATTTCCACAAAAACAAAAATTTCAATACTTGATCCTGATGTATTTATAAATGAGTTGTAGGGTGGCAGTTAACTTACGCATATGGGAAGTGAGGGATCACAGCGGTTATTCGTCCAGCGGAGGCGATCGAACAGGAGTGAATCATGATCAAGAGTTCTGGTTCAAATTCACGGTCAAAACAAAAATAGAAAGAAAACAGGTCAATCGAGAGAGCAGGACGAGGAGAGATTAGAGAGGAATAACGAACCCATGAGGGCCAAGTTGGTGGTACAAGTGATCGAGCTAGCGGTTCCGATGATATAGACATCGGCCTGCCTGACGCTTTCCTTGATTGAGACTGAGATCTCTCCTGAGGGACGTCTGTCGATGGGGATGCGGGTGAGATGGGGATGCCGAGTCGACGGGAGACATGGTGGGCTAGGGCGGGGTGGGAGGTGCCGGTGAAGGGCTTGAGGGATGAGCAGCCCGGCATGGAGAAGTTGTAGTCGGTTGGTCTTGAGGACTATGTAGCCTTGTTAGTCTCATCCACGCCGGCCGGGGCATGGCACGAAAAAAAAAAACCAAAACCCGGTCGCTGGTGGAGGATGTCTGTACTCTGGGTCCACTCTCGGTTCTCCTTAATCCGCTGCATCCTTGGAAGCGATCGGTGTGCCCTCCTTGGGAGACACACATCAAAGATGTGGTGGATTGTAGGCCAGAGTGTCTGCTTCTGATCTGATCTATTCAGTCACTCTGTCACCACTCCGATTCAGTGCCAAGCAGCACCAAGAAGGGCATTGCCCTCCAGACTGTTGAAGCCTGGTTTCCTAGGAGCCAGTCCAACCAAGGCTCCTTATCCCCTCCAATGGGGCCCTCCTGGAACACTCTATCCTAGCAGGCTATGTGTTGCAATCTTAGAACACTCAAAGACACACTTGATATTTATTTAACACATTTGTATGGAAAAAAGATTTCTTCAGCTGTGGTGACAGAGTCAGAGTAGTCAGATCAAGTAGTTTGTGAAATGTGTAGTCAAAGTTGGTGAAAGGTCCAGTGTTGAAGGTTCACAGGTAATGAATTTTGAATTCAGCATGGTGGACCAGGCTTGACCTCAGACAACTGAAATTTTCATTCCTGCTATATAACATGAGAGGGCAACACACCCAATTAAGGTATTCATCACCCAACACAATAAACTAGGTTGCCTTGTGAGGATAACAGTAGACTGGTTAATGTGATCTTGTAAGTCCAATCCTTCCAGTCCAAGTGACAGGTTTCTATGATGACTTTTTATTCCTCTTTCCCCATCTTATCGACCTTGGTGAGAACCTTGAAAAGAGAACCAAGATATCTTCAATGTCTTGGTATTTCATACTTGCCAGTATATCCATTTGTCTGAGAAACCACAACAAACAACTCTTTCCTTAACAATGGCTAAGCATACTGATTTTTTTGAGTTTATTTTGTCACTTGTGCCAGGTGGTTAGCATAATATTCTCTTATGTCAAAACAAGTATGCAGTCTAAATAATTGTGAGTTTACTGTTTTCTGGCTTTTTTTATATCATAGCATTTCCTCTATCTATTTCTCACCACTCCCCACTTGATGAAAATAAGCATTATGTTCGCAGTTTCCACCTAAGATAATGTCATGTATTTATATTGTGATATTTTGTCTGTGAAGGCCTAACATTGTCTGATGGGCTTAGGCTTAAACCCTTGCTCCACAAAGCACCCTTCTTCTTGGTTGCCCTAACTGACCCAAAGCATTATTCTTTTTTATTCAGTCTCATTCAATTCCACTTATTAGGTTAGTTCATAAGGAATATTCACTAGTCACTCACTTTGTTATTTGCCAAATACCTGTTACCAAAATCATGTATTCTTCACATGCCTTGTACAAATACAACTGTAATATGTATGTGATGTGTTTATGATTTTTGTTGGCAATGTATGGTCATAATGTTATTGTCTTCAGAATAAATTCTATGGAAGGCCACAGACAACACCAACTGTGCCATTGTGCCATTTCATCCTTTTTTCCACGTTTCAAAAATTAAATCAAACTTGTACACATTTGAAAAAAAACTTTATATTATGTCTCACACACACATGAAAAATGCAATAAAACAAATTGAGCTGCCAACATTGTTTGAAGAACACCTGACCGTGAAAAACCACCAATCCAAGGGTGTTTTTTTCACACTTTCAACAATGAGCAAGTCTCAACACTATGAGTATAAACTATTATGATCTCATTTGATGAGCTTGAGAGTTCATTGAGTGGTGTTTGGTGGAGTATACATGATCACACCATTTTAAAACTCTTCAAAAAACATCCATCACAACATCACATCACTTCACAACTCTACAAATGTTTTACAAAATCCACTGATATTTTCTTCTCTTAATTCATATACCCAGATACCATGGAAACCACAAGATTCTAACCTTACAACATGTATTAATATTCACTTCACCTGTTATTCCTAACTACCTTGAAATTTTCAACATCCTTGTCTATCCATTTTCTTGTTTTTGTCATGACTTTTGTGTAACTTATCTACTTGTGAAACTGATACTGAGAATTTCTAACACTCGTGTCGGTTCATTTTTTTGTTTTTGTCATGGCTTTTGTGTAATTTATCCACTTGTGAGACTGATACTGAGATAATAGCGGGGTTCACAATAGTGTTTTTTGCTTCTCGCACCCATTAATTTTTTTTCTTGCTCGCGCACTGCTGACGTTAATTTTGTCAGCAAAAATTCAGAATCCGGCGCTAAATTTTATGGCTGCACCGGTGCTGCAGTTTCTCGCGAGAATCAAGAAAGCTTCTTGCGAGAAGCTATCGTGAACCCCGCTAATATGCTACTTGTTGCTTAACAATCATGCTCTACCATACAAATTGTGTTCAGAATGGTACTCAAACTGACAAGTAACACAAATGGAAGCAGCTTAAAAAGATCGGAGATAGTGTTGAAAATCCTCCTCCAAGTCCAGTAGTGAAACAATCCATCTACCAGCTTATTATTTTACTTACCAATCCCCACCACTTGTTACACATTGCCCTTATCATTATGCCATCTTGTGGAAACTGTAGTTGCACTATTGATTCTATTTTACTTGGCTGGTGCAATTTCTGCTTGAAAGATGCCGATATTGGAGGACTTCCTGTCGCGATTTAGAGTGTGTTTTAGACCTCACTCAGTCCTAAATTAACAAAACAATTAAGATTTTAACCAGCTCACATTACATCTGTTTCCGGAAGGCTTCAGAATTTTTTTTTGATGAAAAAAAAATAGATTTAAGGGGTGTAAATCAACTTGTGGGAGGGTCGTAGATTGTGACGGGAAGTCCTCCATTAAACAACATCATATTGAAGCATCCCTCCATAAGCCACTTGCCTCCACCTCATCCAATCCCCCAGCAACAACCAGTTTCCAATTTCCTTTCCAAAGAAACTCTGTCATTTGCCCCAGCTCCCAGCCCTCCTCAGTACCCCCAACAAGCACTTCAGCCCTTGATGAATATTTTCAGAATGCTGTCAGGAATAAACAAAAGAAACCTCAAGTCGCACCATATTCCAAGATTAAGCCTCCCTGCAACGGTGGGCCAGTTACGCTAACCGTAGTGTTAGTGTAGCGTAGTGTTAGCTTTTTAAGCTACGCTACACAAAAGTTACTGTTAGCGGGAATTTTTGGCCCACTAACGCTACAGGATTTTGAAAAAACAAAAAAAAACTTTAGCGTAGTGTTAGCTGCCTTTAAAAAGGTACAACTAACACTACCCAAAATCCTGTTAGTGAAATTTTAGCGGTGTTAGTGGGTGAACCCACTATGCTACATGTTAGTGTAACTTTTTGCAAAGTTACACTAACAGTTAGCGTAACTGGTGAAAAAGTTACACTAACTGTTAGCGTAACTGATTAAAAGTTACACTAACTGTTAGCGTAACTGAATAAAAGTTACACTAACTGTTAGCGTAACTGATTCAAAGTTACACTAACTGTTAGTGTAACTGATTATGTAGTTGGAATAATATGTAGGTTACCTCAGACATAGTAGAATAAGGACCTCAAAAAGTATTTTTCAGATAGTTACTTGGGAAAAAAGCAAAAAAAAAAACAAGTAATCATACTGTAAGAGGACAAATTATCAACCAAAAATCAACAAATATGGATGGATATTTTTTCTTCTGGATAGGCATGGTTAGGAATGAGGGATGAAAAGAACTGCTGATATTGAACTTTTTTTTTTCTGGTAAGATTAGGTATTAGTGAAAATAAGAAATTGATTTTTTTATACTAAGATTTTTTTTTTGCTTAGAGATGAGTGATAAAAAGAATACTAGTGGTTAAAAAGCAAAAGAAAGAAAAGGTGGGAAAAAATCCACTTTTTTCTTTGGGAATAGTCAATGTACGAAGAAACAACTGTTTGTGCTTTGGTGAAATCTCCAGCAACTTTAATACCTTGTTTTAACCACATATGGCTACTAACACACCTTTCAATTGTACGGGGTTTCAAACTCCCTCGGCCAGTTGAACAAACATCAGCAGCTGAAGAAAAGGTACGCTCAACTGCACATGAGGATGCAGAGGATGCTAAGTAGTCCTTGGCCAGTGATCCAAGAACCAGGTAGGTGGTTGAATGATCCTGAACAAGATGAATAATCAAATTATGATTAGAGTAATTACCAAATGAGTATGATCAAAGAAGGTAACTTTATACCTTCCACCAAATTAAAATGCTCTTGGGATCGTTTGAGGCAGGCAAAGGTAGTCGATCCATGTTGTTGATATACACCTCGAGCTCTTGGCTTTCGTCGGTTCTGCAGGTGCATTGAACATTCAAAGATATCATTTTGCTCGACCGGGGGGGGGGGCTTCTTTTTCGACAAGTTGGATATTATCTTCTTTCTGTTTCTTCAGATCCTCCACATGTTTTGCAAATTCTTTCTCCAGAAGTTTTCTCGCAAAGTCCGCTTTTTCAGGCCAGCAATGGGTGAAGGCCTTCAGCCGTAATTTGGGGTGGAGCAAAGTCGCCATAATGAGAGTATGACACTCGAATACCTCGTTTTTTTAGGTCTCTAGTTTCTTGATCATTTTGACATACATCGGATGCATCGGGTGACCTCGGTTGCAGGCATCCTCCTTATTTTTTTATTCTAAGATTATTTGATAATAGTTTGGTAAGATGAAAGCACCGGTAGGACCATTGCCCTCCATAAGTTTGGTCAGGCGGTTGAATGGCTGAAAAAAACAAATGAGCATTTCAGATAAAACCTTATATATAATAATAAAAAGGACTTACTTCTAATTCTTCATTCAGTTCATTAATCATCGCCCATTCCTTCTTTGTGAACTGGATCTCCTTGAAGTGACCGAGCTTCTTGGGATTTTCCTTGCGGCTTGATTTGGACCGTTGTTGTTTATATTTGTCATACTCATCATGGAGTATTGCATCAATGACCTAGATTGGCAAATATTAATCAACAAGCTTTTTTAGAAAGATGGATAAATAACATACTTCTCTGGCTTCATAG